AATTTAAAAAGCTTCTTTACACTCACGCATCTCATTTGCAAATATGGGTTTCTAAAGAAAAGATCTGTATTAGCTAGTTATTTAGAACTGTTACAGTCTGATCTGTTAGCTAGTTATTTAGAACTGTTACAGTCTGATCTGTTAGCTAGTTATTTAGAACTGTTACAGTCTGATCTGTGTTAGCTAGTTATTTAGAACTGTTACAGTCCGATCTGTGTTAGCTAGTTATTTAGAACTGTTACAGTCTGAACTGTTAGCTAGTTATTTAGAACTGTTACAGTCTGATCTGTTAGCTAGTTGTTTAGAACTGTTACAGTCTGATCTGTGTTAGCTAGTTATTTAGAACTGTTACAGTCTGATCTGTTAGCTAGTTATTTAGAACTGTTACAGTCTGATCTGTGTTAGCTAGTTATTTAGAACTGTTACAGTCTGATCTGTTAGCTAGTTATTTAGAACTGTTACAGTCTGATCTGTGTTAGCTAGTTATTTAGAACTGTTACAGTCTGATCTGTGTTAGCTAGTTATTTAGAACTGTTACAGTCTGATCTGTGTTAGCTAGTTATTTAGAACTGTTACAGTCTGAACTGTTAGCTAGTTATTTATAACTGTTACAGTCTGATCTGTTAGCTAGTTGTTTAGAACTGTTACAGTCTGATCTGTGTTAGCTAGTTATTTAGAACTGTTACGGTCTGATCTGTTAGCTAGTTATTTAGAACTGTTGCAGTCTGATCTGTTAGCTAGTTATTTAGAAATTTTACAGTCTGATCTGTTACCTCGTTATTTAGAACTGTTACAGTCTGATCTGTTAGCTTGTTATTTACAACTGTTACAGTCTGATCTGTTAGCTCATTATTTAGAACTGTTACAGTCTGATCTGTGTTAGCTAGTTATTTAGAAATGTTACAGTCTGATCTGTTAGCTCGTTATTTAGAACTGTTACAGTCTGATCTATTAGCTAGTTATTTAGAACTGTTACAGTCTGATCTGTTAGCTAGTTGTGTAGTAAGTGTTACAGCCTGGTTTGTGTTAGTTGTTTAAATCTGTTCCAGTCTGATCTGCATTAATTAGTTATTTAGAACTGTTACAGTCTGATCTGTGTTAGCTACTTGTTTAGAACTGTTACAGTCTGATCTGTTACCTAGTTGTTCAGAACTATCGCAGTCTGATCTGTGTTAGCTACTTATTTAGAACTGTTACAGTCTGAACTGTTAGCTAGTTATTTAGAACTGTTACAGTCTGATCTGTTAGCTAGTTGTTTAGAACTGTTACAGTCTGATCTGTGTTAGCTAGTTATTTAGAACTGTTACAGTCTGATCTGTTAGCTAGTTATTTAGAACTGTTGCAGTCTGATCTGTTAGCTAGTTATTTAGAACCATTACAGTCTGATCTGTTAGCTAGTTATTTAGAACTGTTACAGTCTGATCTGTGTTAGCTAGTTATTTAGAACTGTTACAGTCTGATCTGTTAGCTAGTTATTTAGAACTGTTACAGTCTGATCTGTTAGCTAGTTATTTAGAACTGTTACAGTCTGATCTGTGTTAGCTAGTTATTTAGAACTGTTACAGTCCGATCTGTGTTAGCTAGTTATTTAGAACTGTTACAGTCCGATCTGTGTTAGCTAGTTATTTAGAACTGTTACAGTCTGATCTGTGTTAGCTAGTTATTTAGAACTGTTACAGTCTGAACTGTTAGCTAGTTGTTTAGAACTGTTACAGTCTGATCTGTGTTAGCTAGTTATTTAGAACTGTTACAGTCTGATCTGTTAGCTAGTTATTTAGAACTGTTGCAGTCTGATCTGTTAGCTAGTTATTTAGAAATTTTACAGTCTGATCTGTTACCTCGTTATTTAGAACTGTTACAGTCTGATCTGTTAGCTCGTTATTTACAACTGTTACAGTCTGATCTGTTAGCTCATTATTTAGAACTGTTACAGTCTGATCTGTGTTAGCTAGTTATTTAGAAATGTTACAGTCTGATCTGTTAGCTCGTTATTTAGAACTGTTACAGTCTGATCTATTAGCTAGTTATTTAGAACTGTTACAGTCTGATCTGTTAGCTAGTTGTGTAGTAAGTGTTACAGCCTGGTTTGTGTTAGTTGTTTAAATCTGTTCCAGTCTGATCTGCATTAATTAGTTATTTAGAACTGTTACAGTCTGATCTGTGTTAGCTACTTGTTTAGAACTGTTACAGTCTGATCTGTTACCTAGTTGTTCAGAACTATCGCAGTCTGATCTGTGTTAGCTACTTATTTAGAACTGTTACAGTCTGATCTGCATTATCTAGTTCTTTAGAACTATTCCAGTCTGATCTGCTAGCTAGTTGTTTAGAACTGTTACAGTCTGATCTAAGTTAGCTAATTAATTAGAACTGCTACAGTCTGATCTGTCTTAAAGAACCCTTTGCATGATTGAAAGGTTCTTTGCATCCTGAAAGCATTCTTCAGACAGATGTAAAATGTGCTGTAGATGGTTCTACATAGAACCTTCTTGAAAATGGTTCTATAAGGCACCCAAAAGGGTTCTTCTATTGTTATGGTGTCAAGTTTGTAACAACAGAAGAACCCTATGGATGCTGTATCAAACTACTTTTCAAAAAGTCTATATATAGAATCATCTATAGCACATTTATGCATATTTTCCATCAATCCGACGAACCATTTCAGGATGCAACAAAGGGTTCTTTGAGTGTTCTTGGTTCTAAATAGAACCATTTGCTTCATTAAAGAACCCTTGAAGCATGTTCTTTTTTGAGGAGTGTACACATAAATGTATCAAACTGTGTGAACTGAGTCATTTTGATCTTTAACGAATTTCAGAATGTTTAGACTTATGACTGTGTGATGTTGCAGTTTGTGAAAGATCAATTTGAAAGTGATCACCTTGGATTAGCCGTGTTCTGAGTAAGAGGGACTTCAGTTGTGTCTGTGTGGTGTTGAGGGAAGATCCCTGGTGAGGTATGTTGGTTAGAAATTAGATGTGTTTGTGAGTCACGGGTGCACAATTATGTCAGTTTCCGAGGGGCACAATAAAGATTTCAGGGGGCCAGTCACCTCTGGCCTCACTGTGCCATAGACCCCAGTGCAACTGCCCCCCCACCAGTAATTAAGCCGCAAAAGAGCGTGTTTGTTGAAGCAGTTTGACCATGGCACTTTTCGATGGCCACATCAAGGGCTTTAAATCAAAAATAGCTCATATTGGTTGTTTCAGTATCCGTTTCGGTATTGCTGCTATGCTCGGAGCCGTGATGGCCAGCTGGGTGGAGTCGGTGGCGGCCGGCTGTCTGAAAGCGCACAGGAAGTTGCATCATTGAACTTTCCACTGCACGCACCAGTGCTATTTGACAGTCCAGAAGTCTCCCCTGTTGCCGTGGAGACCCGCAGTCACCCAGGCCCTGACATTTGACTTTGCTCCGGCCTCCCTGGAGCCCACCGCTGAAAAGCTGTCAGCGAGACACAGAAAAAATGTGTTTGTTTGGGTGCAAGTGTGTGGGAAGGACTGTCTGTGTGAACAAACAAGCAAAGGAAGCGGAGGATTTTTTTCTCTAGAACAGCTTTTGCTTTTAAACTTTCAGCTGCTTTTTTGTGATGCTTTTCACAGCAGCCATTTTCACAGAGCAAGGCCGGATCCAGATCCAGAAATCATGTACCTTTATAGGAGCCAAAACCCAAAGACAGGGTCAGTTTCCCGGATAGGGATTAAAACTACACATACCAAGGTAGCACGAGGTCTTAGATGCAGTCCTCAGCAGTTGTGATGTGTCATTATTATCATGCTAGTTTACATGAGCATATATAATACCAGTCAAATAATTAGATTCTCCTCATTTAATGTATATTTTTGCAACCATAAAGACATTTGGATCTGTACCGTTTGCACACATGAGCTAGAACCTATACAGGAACAGTGGGCTTGATCGAATCCCATTAGCAGACAGTTCTGGGCCGGTTATGACTACATGAGTGTTGGTTGACTGCTGGGCAGATGTCAGGCATGCTAGCCAGAATAGGACCAGATTCCATACAGCTGCCTACAGTTTTGCATTGTGTGTTGAAATACAATTTCTTCCCCCACTTGAACGAAAGGCAGAATGTTGATATGTGTATATATGTAGCAACCACCAGGGACACCATATCAGTTGCCTAGCAACACCTTAGCAACCACCTGGGACACCATATCAGTTACCTAACAACACCTTAGCAACCACCTGGAACACCATATCAATTGCTTAGCAACACCTTAGCAACCATCTGGGACACCATATGAATTGCCTAGCAACACCTTAGCAACCACCTGGGACACCATATCAGTTGCCTAACAACACCTTAGCAACCACCTGGAACACCATATCAATTGCTTAGCAACACCTTAGCAACCACCTGGGACACCATATGAATTGCCTAGCAACACCTTAGCAGCTCCCTGGGATTCCATATCAATTGCTTAGCAACACCTTAGGAACCACCTGGGACTGATTCATTGATAGAGAATGTGTTATAGACGGTTCTACATAGGTCCTTTTTTGAAAAGGGTTCTATATAGCACTAAAAAGGGTTCTGCTGTTGTTACAATGTCAAGCCTGTGACAATAGAAGAACCCATTTTGGTATTTTATAGAACTATTTTCAAAAAGATTCTGTATAGAATCATATTAAACACATTCTCCATCAATCTGAAGAAACATTTAGTCACACAAAGGCTTCTTTGAGCGTTCATCGTTCTATATAGAACCAATTTCTTTACTAAAGAACCCTTGAAGAAGATCTTTAAGTTTGAACCATCCATTCATCATAAAAGGTTTTTAATTTTTTACAGCTTTCTACAAACTGTTGGACACTTTAGCATCATATTAGTCATTTTATGTATCTGGTTTTACATTAATCAGAACAGTGATGCCAGACTTCTCTGTTCAAGCCCCTACATTGACCTCCTGTGGTGGGGGTCTAATGAGTGGCATCTGGTGGGAAATCCTCTTACATCACTTCCTGCTGTGTGCTGTTTTTAGGGCAATGTGACCTTCTCCTGTTCGGAGCCCACAGCGGTGTCGGCCACCTTCCTGAGCTCCAGCGGCAGCTTCCTGCAGCTCCCGGCGGACCCTGGGGACCCTGCGGCCGAGGGGGCGGAGGGCGAGGGTGTGTCCGGCGGGTGGTCGGCAGGGTTTCACTTTCGGACGTGGAACAGAGACGGGCTGCTGCTGTGGAGCGGCCTGCAGCGGTCAGAGAGACTGCTGCTGCTGCTCGCTGACGGACAGCTCCGCCTAACGCACTATAGATCAGCTCTACAGAGCGCCGAGATAACCGTCGGTGAGGAGCAGCTCTCGTTTATTATTTGATTTGGATTGACAAATAAAACAAATTAACAAATTAAAGTGTCCTAAACAAAAATCCAGCTTTTTGTTTAACAAAAACAACAGATAAATATCACTAGAGCCATTTTCAGCCATTAAAACCTGTAACATGTGAAAAACATTGTATTGGCTAACCTTTAGCATGTTATACCAGCTTTGACCTGCAGGGGGCAGCTGTTTTTGTTCCTATATGATGGTCAGTTCTACTTCACATTTTTGTGTTGTACAGTTGATTTCTAATGTACTACTGAACATAGATGTTCACAGTTCATGAACCAGGTGGAAAAAGGTACTGGGCTAACAATTAGAATGCCATAAGAGTTTGGACAACAAGGGGGCAATTCAATTCAGCCGTTGAATGCAGCCATTACGCATCTCTGCTAGGAGGTCAGGGAGTTTATTCAGTCCTGTGCTGAAGTGCAAAGTGTCTATCCCCTGTTGAATCACTCACTACAGAGTTCCAAACTGCCTCTGGAGGCAACATCAGCAAAAGAACTGCGTGTTAGGAGCTTCATGAGATGGGTTTCCATGGCTGAGCTGCACACAAGCCTAAGATCAAAATGCTCAATGCCAAGTGTCGGATGGACGGGTGTAAAGCACGCTGGACTCTGGAGCAGTGGAAACGTGTTCTCTGGAGTGATGAATCAGCTTCTCTATCTGTCAGTCTGATGGACGAGTCTGGGTTTGGCAAATGCCAGGAGAACATTACCTGCCTGACTGCACTGTGCCAGCTGTAGAGTTTGGTGGAGGAGGGATGATGATATGGGGCTGTTTTTCAGGGGTTGATCTAGAACCCTTAGTTCTAGTGAATGGAAATCTTAAAGCTTCAGCACCAAGACATTCTGGACAATTGTACACTTCCAACTTTGTGGAACAGTTTGGGGAAGAACCTTTCCTGTTCCAGCATGACTGAGCCCCAGTGACCAAAGCAGCTCCATAAACGCCTGACTGGGTGAGTTTGGTGTGGAAGAACCTGAGTGGCCCTCACAGAGCCCTGACCTCAACCCCATCACACACCTTTGGGATGATCTAGGACAGAGATTGTGAGTTAGACCCTCTCGTCCAACATCAGTGTCTGACCTCACAAATGCTCTTTAGACTGAATGGACATAAATTCCCATAGACTCTCTCCAACATCTTGTAGGAAGCTTCCCAGAAGAGTGGAAGCTATTAGAGCTGCAAAGGGGGACCAACTCCATATTAATGCCTATGGATTTAGAATGGGATTCATAAAAGCTCCTGTGGGTGTGATGTGTAGGTGTCCCAATACTTTTGTCCATGTAGTGTATCTTATATTCTCCAACAGTCTTTTAGCTAATACAGAAATTTTAATGAATATGTTGATATATGGCTAACAATACGCCTATGGGTTTATCACAGTGGTCTGTTTTTTACTGACCATTAGAACAGTATACAATGCATTGGCACTCATAAGTGATCAGATAATGGACACATTAAATACTGAAAAACATGAAATAACCCATACTTGGCTCTGTTGACTGGACATTAAATAAAGAAAAGTGTGGTCACTGTACTGTATCTAAATATATGGTGCTAACCCCACATGCTAACGTGTTGTTATGTCCTGTCTAGGTCAGGGTCTGAGTGATGGTCAGTGGCACTCCGTGTTGGTCACTCTGAACGGCCTCCAGGCATCCGTCTCTGTGGACAACGAGCCGGCGTCCAGCATGCTGCTTGGTGATCATGCTCAGCTTGGGAGCACTGTGCTGATTGGAGGTAATGCTAATGCTAATGCATGGCCAAGGCTAATGTTATTAGTGCTACTGCCTTGAAACTCCAAGCTTTTAGTCCAGAGTCACTAATATACTTTTAATAAGACCTTAATGTTTTACTCGGTATTGGTTATTGGTCATGCTGAATACCCACTAATGTATTAATGATGCAAATTCATAAATGTGCTTTTAAATTCAGTGTTTTGTGACCAGGTCTCTGTAATTTCTCTCAGGGCTGTTACTGCATATTCATTTACTACTGATTTATTTACTTGGAAATAAAAACTTAGCAGCTCATTAATTCAAAAAGGCAGCAAAAGTACAGAAACATTCATAGTTTGTTTCCTTCGCTTCAATTTCTGGGATGTGAGTCACATTTCAGTCTTTGGGATGCGAATCTGAGTCAAATTTCTGGGGTGTGAGTCTGAGTTGAATCTTGAGTCTGAGTCGAGTTTCTAGGAAGTGAGTCTGTGTCAAGTCTCAAGTCTCTTGGAACCAAGTCTAAGTCAAGTTCTGAGTCTCTGAGGTGCAAGTCTGAATCAAGTCTTCAGCCTATTGGGAATGAGTCTGAGTTGAGCTGTGAGTCTCTGGCTTGTGAGTCTGATTTAAGTCTCACGTCTCTTGGGTGCAAATCTAAGTCTAGTTTTGAGTCTCTAGGATTCGACTGTAAATCGAGTCTTGAGTCTCTTGGGAGTGGGTCTGAGTCAAGTCTGGAGTCTCTTAGGAGTGAGTCTGAGTTAAGTCTTGAGTTTCTGGAACGTGAGTCTGAATCAAGTCCTTAGTCTCTTAGGAGCGAGTCTAAGTAAAGTCTTGAGTCTCTTGGGAGTGAGTCTGAATTAAGTCTATGGGATTTAAGTCTGAGTCAAGTCTCTGGGGTACGAGTCTAAATCTAGTCTCAAGTCTCTTGGGGATGAGTCTGAGTTGAATTTTCGAGTCTCTAGGGATGCGAGTCAGAATTGAGCCTCAAGTCTCTTGGGAGCGAGTCTGAACCAAGTTTTGATTCTCTGGAATGTGAGTCTGAGTCAAGTTTTGAGTCTCTGGGAACGTGAGTCTGAATGAAGTATTGAGTCTTTTGGGAGCTAAACTGGGTTAAGCTTTGAGTCCCTGGGATGTGAGTCTACGTCAAGTTTCTGGGGTGCAAGGCTGTATTGAGATTTGAGTCAGAGTTGAGTCTCAAGTCTCTAGGATGCGAGTCCGAGTCAAGTCTTGAGTCTCTCGTGTGTTAGTCCAAGCTGGGTCTAGAGTTTATGCCCTCTCAGAAAAAAAAGTACTAAACTATCATTGGGACAGTACCCCTCACATCACTGAGGTGGTCCCCTCAAAGGTACATCTCAACACCTTTATTTAAGAAACATAATTGTGCCTTATTTCATTGAAATATATTTTAAAGTCATATTGACTCCAGTCACCCACCTCGCCTCCAGCCTTTTTAACCTATTGTTCTGTTATGAAACATTAGGTTATTATATAATTATTATATATAAAAGATATCAATACTTACTCTCTCCCTGGGACAAACTTAAGGTACACAATTGGATCTCAAAACTGTAGTTGTACCTTTGAAGATATGTTCATATTGTTTGTACCTTAATGAACATAAACGTACCTGCAGAGTGCCCTTGTTTTCTGACAGTGTGAGGTGGGAGTCCGAGCTGCGTCTTAAGTCTCAAGTCTGTGGGAGGCGAGTCTGAATCAAATCTTGAGTCTTTAGTAGAGAATTTTAGTTGAGTCTTGTTATCAGCTATTAGCATTGCATTGCAAGTAAACCTCTACATAAAACCTGTTAGGTATGTGAATATGTGGAATATGTGGGCTCATCTGAGGTCTTAGTAGCCAATGACCACTTAGCTGACCACTCAAACTACATGCCTGCAACACATTTCAAGTTGCCTCTTTCCTTTAAACGCTGCAATTTGCTGCATGTTGCACTCTGGACTGTCCTTTTCTGTCATATAAAGCTCGTTATTTGAAGGCTTGTGGTGTTGTAGGCACTCGGTTGAGGTAAGGAAAGTACAATGAAGCGAATTAGTGATTCTGGACGGCACTACAGTAGGCTAACCTAGATCATTAAGTAGGCAGGACTGTAACAATACTAAGGAGTCCATTCAAGATGTTGCAGTACAAGAAGTTTTTATGGGGGCATTCAATGTCATAACCTCTTCATTAGTCCAGACAGCTTTTGCAGACAGGAGTGGGTGTATGTGCTGTGTTTTCTGTGTCTGATGCTTAATCAGTGGAAGAGCAGATGGCGTTCTACAGTGTCACGAGTCTGCAGTTTGCAACCTTCACTTACGGTGACTGATGGGGCAGTCATTTCGCAGATAAATATAGCCGCAAAGCTTTGCTGCCCTATCATTTCTGACCCGAAGCTTTGCTGCCCTATCATTTCTGACCCAAAGCTTTGCTGTCTTATCATTTTTTTTTATCCCTTAAGCTTTGCCGCCGTGTCGTTTTTGGCCTGACATTTGCTCTTTTGGGTTTTGGGGGTAGTGCTATCAGTGCTTTTGCTAGATTACCAAAGAACGTCATGGGCAGTTTCTGTATTTTGTCCCTAAGCGTTAAAAGGCCCAGAGCTTTTTATCGAGGAGGAATGAATTTTTCTCACTGTTGATAAAATATGTAAAAGTTGGAAGCAAATGGCCACTAAGCTGCAAAAACACCATTTCGAATTCAATGAACAAGGCATTTTAGCCCCGCCCATTCAGCCTACAGCAGTTTAGCCCCACCCATTCAGGCTACAGCAGTTTAGCCCCACCCATTCAACCTACAGCAGTTTAGATCCATCTATTCAGCCTAGAGGAGTTTGGCCCCTCCCATTTAGCCTACAGCATTTTAGCCCCACCCATTCACCCTACAGCAGTGAAGCCCCACCCATTCAGGTACAAGAATTTAGCCCCACCCATTCAGCACATAGTTAGCCCCATCCTTCACATTAACATTACAGTTAACATTAGAGTTTCAGCCCAGCTTTTTTTACTGACAATACAGCCAATGAAAACATAGGTAATTTGCATATTTAATTCATAAAGTCACAGTAAGAAAAAGCAGCCTGTTTAATTCTAAGGGATAAGGAGGATTGGAAAATGTTCATGAATTGAAATATGAATTCATAAGAGTACCTCAAGAAAACAAGATTAATGTAGAATAAAAGCCCTTTTCTTTGTCCACTGTCTTTTTTTCCCCAGGATGTCCAGCAGCACTGGCCAATCAGGGCTGTCGGAACCCCACGCTGGCCTTTCAGGGCTGCATGCGCACCATCGTCATCAACAACCATCCGATCGACTTGTACCGTGTGCAGCAAGGCCTTCTTGGTAACTTCAGCGAGCTCCAAATTGACATCTGTGGCATCCGGGACAGGTACCGTCACCTTGATATGCTAATTGAGTGAATTCTTTGATATGCTAAGTAGCGCCGCTGTGTCAGATGGGTGACTTTAGTTTGCTTATTAGGACTAAATGAGAGACGAGGGCAAGACAAAGTGTCAAAACAAGACGGCGTCCTGGGAAAGCAGCGTTTTGAATTGCAAGACGATTTCCACACACTTTTCTTCCCTAGTGAATCTCTAAAACATGCTGATTTTTGCTTCGCTAATCACCCATATCTCTCCGATAAGGACTTGTAGCTGTTGTTTTTTACAATTTGCGCATAATAAACAAGTCTCTAAACGGCCAAAACGTATTCCACTCGAGCGTTTCCTGTAATAGAGGAGCTTCTGAACAATGGATATAACCTTTAGCACTTTCTGTAGGGTGTTTAAAAGAGGCAAGTAGAATTAGCGATAATTAGCGAGCGGGAGAGTGGAGATTAGAGCCATTGTTTAGAGAAATAGCAGCTAGGCAAGTGGTACTTACGAGCGCGTGGCGTATGTGCGTCCTCTCTTTACAAAGAATAGACGGGGGCAGATTTTAACAGATAGCAGAATTAGCAGATGGGTTCCTCTGTCACACTTCTGTACGCTAATGCTACTGTTCAAAAGTTTGGAATCAATATTTCTCAACACCAAACCAAATTTTGCTGTAAATTTTAATTTCATATATCAATATGTGATACTATTATGGAAATCCTGTGGCACACACTTTAAAAAGATGGTTCTTCAAGGGTTCTTTAGTCAAGACAATGATTCCATTTAAAACCATGAGTTCCATATAGAACCATTTCATGCTTAAATGGTTCTATGCATGGTGAAATGGCCCTTCAAACTGATTCAGAAAGTGTTGTGTACACTTCTGTGTAGCATCAGAAGGGTTCTGCGATAGTTATGATGTCAAGCTTATAATAATAGAAGAACCCTTTGGGGTGCTATATAGAACCATTTTCAAAAAGGTTCTACATAACCTATCTAGAACTCCTGGTTGTGCACAGAACCACTGCCTTTCCTACAGAACCCTTAAAGAACCCTCTTTTTGAAGTGTGTATGTTAGAAATGTTAGATATGTCCTGAATGATGAAAAGAGATGTAGATGATTCTTAAATGATCAAAACCATATTTTAAAATGAACCTCCAGAATGTCATATTTCAAAATTGGTGACTAAAATCGAGGCAGATAATTTGACAAACATATTATAAATACACATTTATACCTGCTAAAATTTTTCCGTTTGAATTGTTTGCAAATGATGGTTTGCAAATGATGGTTGAACATGAATGGAGATAGTGGGCAGCCTTGTCTGACTCCTTAGAGTTCGTTTCTTTGTCCATTTTCTGTCCTGACCATTGCTCTTTGATCAGTGTATAGGTTCCTCATTAGAACGATGAGATGCTCTGGAACTCCCATTTTCCTGAAGACATTCCAGAATTTGACATGGCTGACACTGTTGAAGGCTTTGCTGTAGTCCGTGAAATACGTGTTGACCTTCTTCTTGAACTCCTTGGCTTTTTCAATGATCCAGCAAACATCTGCAATTATATTTCTTGTTCCTCTGTCTTTCCTGAACACTGCATGCAAATCCGGCAGTTCTCTTTTGACGTAAAGGCTGTCGCACACCGTCCAGCATCCAAAATTTGAAACCATTGTTTTTAATGGAGGTTTGCACACCGGCACAGACACAGCGCTCCATGACTCCATTTCTCAGTGTTCACAGCATGCCACACAGCACTTTACCATCACTACATTAAAGTAAAGCCCTTTTGACAGACAGATGCTGATGGTAGGTTACCTCAGCTAACATTACTAGCCTGGCCTTTTTCAGCTTGTGTCTTTCAGTTCAAAAACAGCCAGTCTGAGAAGAAGTAGTGAACTGATGCAAAGCATCAACACTTTATTTTAATCTATTTACATTAGTAGAGTGTAAAAATAAAGTCGATCCTGCTGTTTTTGGGCTCTCCCTGCTGGTGTTCTATAGCAGCACTCTGCTATGTGACACTACACTATGCAGCGCTGCGCCGCACTGCGCTGCGCGGCCTTAAGGCTCTAATTGGTTGAATTCAGAATTGGAAATGATGTCACAAAGGACACTCTCACACTGTCCCTCATGGACAATACATATACTCAAATACATACTAGCACACATAAATGCACATACAAGCTACCGCCAATAACCACCATATCATAGCAATGGCCAGGCAACTTCTTCTAAGCCATGTGGGATATCATAGCAGTGGCCTAACTTAGCAACCACCTGCAATGCCATAGAAATGCCCTAGCAACACCTTAGCAAGCATCTGTGATGCCATAGCAAAGCCCTAGCAACATCTTAGCAACCACCTGCAATGCCATAGAAATGCCCTAGCAACACCTTAGCAAGCATCTGTGATGCCATAGCAAAGCCCCAGCAACATCTTAGCAACCACCTGCAATGCCATAGCAATGCCCTAGCAACACCTTAGCAACCACCTGCAATGCCATAGCAATGCCCTAGAAACATCTTAGCAACAACCTGCAATGCCATAGCAATGCCCTAGCAACACCTTAGCAAGCATCTGTGATGCCATAGCAAAGCCCTAGAAACAGCTTAGCAACCACCTGCAATGCCATAGCAATGCCCTAGCAACATCTTAGCAACCACCTGCAATGCCATAGCAATGCCCTAGCAACATCTTAGCAACCACCTGCAATGCCATAGCAATGCCCTAGCAACATCTTAGCAACCACCTGCAATGCCATAGCAATGCCCTAGCAACATCTTAGCAACCACCTGCAATGCCATAGCAATGCCCTAGCAACACCTTAGCAAGCATCTGTGATGCCATAGCAAAGCCCTAGCAACATCTTAGCAACCACCTGCAATGCCATAGCAATGCCCTAGCAACATCTTAGCAACCACCTGCAATGCCATAGCAATGCCCTAGCAACATCTTAGCAACCACCTGCAATGCCATAGCAAAGCCCTAGCAAACATCTTAGCAACCACATGCAATGCCATAGCAATGCCCTAGCAACACCTTAGCAACCACCTGCAATGCCGTAGTAACTGCTATGAAACAACTGCTGCTAAACAATCTGGGGGAGCTGCAGCCCCCTCAGCACTCACTTATCACTTCTCTGACTTCTTCTTGTTCCCAAATTAATTTTAATATTAAATAAATTTTAAATACACATCAATGTATGTTATGTAGTTTATAACCTTGAATTCTATGTACACTGAATTATACCAGTTACTGTATATAAACTAGCAGAAAGTCTTACAACAGCTGAAACCAAGCTTTTCACCCACCCGCAGCCCCCCTGCAGCTGCCACTTACTGCTTAGAGAGACAGAGAGAGGCAGAAATAAAGGTGGAGAGAAAAAGAGGCTGATTTTCTACTGTCAGTCTCCTCCCTTTGGCACCCAGTCAGCCAGCTCCTCACTCCAGCTAATACTCTTTTTTGGCAGAGGGGTAAATAGCCATTGGCAGGGCTGGCTGGACCGTGAATTAGCCCCTGGATCAGCCTGCTGGCACTGTTAGAATGCAGAGAATATTTGGAGAATGTGTGTGGGGGGGCAGTGTCTGGGGAGTGTGGGGGTGCTGTTGTTTTAGGATGGAGTCCATGGAGCTCTGGGTCAGCTGTGACCTTGGAGAACAATATTTAAAATTCCACTTCCACTGACTGCAGGGTTGGACTAGAGAATTCCCGATGGACCGCTCTGTCTGCTAGCCATGCTGAGAGAGAGAGACAGAGAGAGAGAGAGAGAGGAGAGGGAGAGAGAGAGATGCACACACTGAATTCTCAATGCACCCATGATCCAATTGTAAGCCCCTCCCCTCTGCTATAAACCAAGTAAGCAAATATTAGCCCCTCACACCACCAAAATCCAAAATTAACAACCATAAGCCCCTCCCTTAGTGCCAAATTCCAAACAAGAACTATAAGCCCACCCGACTGCCAGAATCTAAGCAAACAACTTTAAGCCCCTCCCCACTGCCAAAATCCAACACATGACTATAAGCCCCTCCCCCACTGACAACATACAACCAGCTATAAGCCCCTCTCCATGCCGAAAATCCAAACAGATGAATATTAGCCCCTCCCCAATAACTAAATATAAATTTAAGCCCCTCCCCACCACCCAAACCCAAACAACTATTAGCCCCTCCCCAAGTCAAAGTCCAAACAACTATAAGCCCCTCCCCAACAACTTAATATAACTATGAGCCCCTCCCCACCACCAAAATCCAAATGAACAGCTATAAGCCCCTCCCACCAAAAAATCCAAGCAACCAATGTAAGCCCCTCACCACCACCACAATTAAAACAACTATAAGGCCCTCCCCACAGACTAAATACAAGTATAAACCCCTCCTCACTGCAAAAATCCAAACAAGCAAATATAAGCCCCTCCCCAACAACTAGTCCTCAAGTCAAAATCCAAACAAATTTAAGCCCCTCCCCAACAACTAATTACAAATATAAGCCCCTTCCACCACCCAAATCCATACAAATATTAGCCCCTCCCCAAGTCAAAATCCAAACAAATATAAGCCCCTCCCCAACAACTTAATATAACTATAAGCCCCTCCCACACACCAAAATTCCAAATAACAGACTATAAGCCCCCAACTAAACTAAAACAGAACCAAACACACAGCTATAAGCCCTGCCCTACATAGAACTGTTCCAGGAACCGTACATCTAAGCCACTTTGTATGGTCCAGATAGAGCCAGTCTTTGATCCCAGTCCGTCCCTGAAGGACTGTTAGCTGCTCCTCAGGCACACGGCAGGGGGAACATCGCACTACGCTGACGTTTGATGGAGTCACCCATTCAGGCAGCCTGGGTCAGTTTCTGTCCTGGGGTTTTAAATCTATAACAACATAAACCGAGTAAGTCTGTTATTGATTGATTGATTCAACATTGAAGATTCCTCCTCATTTCCCCTCTTCTAATCCCATCTGCTTCACTAATCCCGTTCAACACCACCACTCCACCATAGTCTTCC